TGCCTGGGCTACAACTGAAATAGAGAATACAGAAACATGGTTTTGGTTCCTTGAGAGTCTGATGAAAGCCCTAAAATATGAAAATCGAGGCCTGGGATATACCTTTATGTCAGATAGGTAAAAGGTAAACATATATCCAAAAATATTAGAATGCTAAATTTAACTTTGTTCACCTGACTGATTTAGTGTTTGTGCTATGTGAACAGGGCTTGCTGAAGCTTTGTAGCAGGTTGTTCCTTCTGCAGACACAAGGTACTGTGTGAGACATATATAGGCTAACTTCAAGTTGCAATTTAGTGGATCAACTTTCAAGGAGTTGTTCTGGTCAGCAGCAAGGACAATAACATTGGTATGCTTTGATGATTGTCTTAACTTGGGTATTTGAACTGTTATGTCATGTTGTTTGATCCATTTAACATCCATGTGTGAATGTGTGTTTTCTAATTTGCCTCTTTATGTGTTTGTATGTTTATCCTTCCTTTTTAGTTTGACTTTGAATTAGAAATGGAGTCAATAAGGTTCTTGCATCTAAGGATACTTTTGAATATCTTGCTGACATCCCAGCTAAACACTGGTCTAGACATGCCTTCAGTACATTCCCAAAGTTAAACATGTTTCTCAACAACATTTGTGAGACTTTTAATGCTGTAATCAAAGAAGTTAGGGATAAACCTATTTTGACTCAGATGGAGTGGCTTAGGAGGTATATGATGAAAAGAAACCATGACAAATGGGATAGTTTTCAGAAAATGGAAGGGAAGGTAGTTCCACTTGTGAAGAAGACATTCTACAGGATAGAACCAGCTGCAAGGCATTGTATTGTGCAAGTTTCTAGGGGTGACAGTTATGAGGTTGAGCTTAACTCTGACCTAGTAACAGTTGACCTAAGCAAGGCAACATGCACTTGCTACCATTGGGACCTAACTGGTATCCTTTGTGTTGCATCATGGACAAAAGGGCAGACCCTAAGGATTATGTGGATAGTGCTTACCTTGTGTCCAAATATATGTTGGCATATAGGTATGAAGTTGCACCTATGCCTGGTCCACACCATTGGGAAAAGGTTAAGCTGAGGCAACCACTACCACCAGCCATCAAAGTACAATCTAGGAGGCCTAAGTCTAAGAAGAGGAAGTCGAAGCAGGGAGAAATGGGTGGGCAGAACCAACATGTGCAGCAACCAATCAAACGGAGGAGCACATGTAAGAACTGTGGCCAGCTTGGACACTATGCTAAGACCTGCCAAAACCCTACTATCACACCAGTAGTTGTCTCTTCCCCAAAGAAAGAAGGTGGAAGACCACATTTGAACATTGACTGGGTGAATGACCAGAGAAAGAATAGAGCAGAGAGAACTTTGAAAAAGGTAAAAAAAATAAAAAAAATAAAATAAAAAAAAGATTGATACATGTTGTGTGTGCTTTTTGGAGTTTTGAGAAAAAACTAAATGTTGTGTGTGCTTTACAGAGTGCACTTGGTGGTACTCCTGGACCAAATAGTATTGGCAGCAAGAGGTTCCCTCAAGAAGAGCATCAGAGGAAGCAGCAGCAGCAGCAGACTCAAGCTTTATCCACAACAGCTACCATTACCTCTGCACCAACTCCTACCTCACCAACAACCAGGAACCAAGCTTCATCCACAACAGCTGCAGCCTTTGAACCAGCTCATATACCACCAATAACCAAGCTGCATGTAATTAGACTAAGAAAGTACATTATGTTGCTCCTCATTTGTATGTTAACAGAAGATGATGGGTGGTTGCATTTTTTTGACCTTGTTGAATAATGTTAGATATGAACTGATGTAATTTGGATGGGCATGTTACTATGCATTTGGCTTTAATGTGTTGGGAAATGCTATGAATTTGACAATAGCAATTGTTCAATGCAATTTCAAGATTATGCACATATGTCGTGTGTTGCTTTTTATTTTAAAAATGGTTCCTGTTCAAACCAAAAATGTGTACCAAAATAACTTGTTTATTTCATTCCTTACTACATAGTAATATCATTACAATCAACCCAGCCTTCACTCCACCTTCCCCTTAAACCAGCTTATTGAGTACAACAGAACCTAAAACTAAAAAAACAGAACACATAACAACTACAACAACCATCAGCTTGCTGTCAAAATTGCCATTGTTGCTTATTGATCATCTTCTTCCTGTCACCACTTAGGGCCTTGCATTTCAGTTTCAAAGTGTTAACCTCATTTAGCAAACATCTTCTTTGGCCAATCAAGTCATCAACCTCCCTCTTCAATGAGTTAACTTCAGCCTTCATCAGCTTTTTGTCAAGCACAAGTTGGTTGATCACATCTCTCTGCCACTCAGTTCCATCATCAGTGTCAACCCATTCAAAACTATTTATAAACTGCATGACAAAATCACGCGTGAATATTATTTCCTTCGTTTCATAATGTTAGTCCTGTACATATTAAGTTAATCCAACTCTATAGGTCAACGCTTGAGAGTGAGGGGGAAGATAATGGAATCCTTCTACTCCCAAGTAAATATAATTAGTGGGACTTAAACTCATGATAATAAAGTTATAAGATGAGTTTCCCACCAACTCTACCAAACTAGCTTGGTTACTTCTATTTCGCATTCATTTAAACAAAGATGCAATGCGAAGCAGCAAGGAGTATGAGTGTATGATAAGAGCCAAAAATACTATGTACTCCGTGACAACTTATAAACCAGCGCATTATTAAAATAGATAGATAGATGGACGAAAGCAAACAAACATAACCATAACAATAATTTTGTGACACCATGATTCATGAATCATGATTATCAATAGACGCAAGAGAAAGAACAACGGTGGTTTGTTTTTACTATCATGACAATTATATGAATACAATTACGAATATCCAGCAATTATTGTATTTTATGTCACTTTATTTTACCTGCATTACTTTTCGTTTCATTAGTTTAATATGTTCTATTAATCATTTATATATATTTCTTGAATTATTAATTAGAAAAATCTTTTATATGGCTTAATTAGAGGTGATCATTGGGCGGGGCGGGGCGAGTTCGGGCCGGGCCCAAGCTTAAAAAATATGCCAATTTCTCGGGCTGAGACGGGCCGGGCAAAAAAAACAACTAAATATGCATAAAAACGCTTTCCTAAACCCGCCCAAAAAAATAAATTTTCGGGCCGTAAAATTCTGCCCAAAACCCGCCCAAGATCGGGCCGGGTCGGGCCGACTTTGATCACCTCTAGACTTAATATTTGGAAAAATTGCCCAGAATGATCCCACTTTTGTGGCGTCCGCAAAAAAAATCTCACTTTGGGTTATTTTTAAATAATTCGACCTTTATACCCAATCCGCTCAAAATGGTCCCAACCGGTCATGTAACTTGTTATACCAATTTACCTGACACGTGGCAACTTGTGATTGGTAAAAAAAAATTTAAAAAAAAAGAAATAAAATTAACAATAAAAAAACCTTTTAAAAAAAATAAATAAATAAAAACTGCAAAAAGATAAAAAAAAATTAAATAAAAAAACAAACCCAGCCCGCAGCCCCTGCCGCCACAGTTGGGAGGCTACTGCGCCGGCAACCCTCCTTTTCTGCCAGCCCCTGCCGCCATTGTTGGGAGGCTGCTACGCCGGCAATCATCCTTTTCAGCCATCTTACTTCTAGCCCCCTCCTTGAACCACCAACCCCCTGCCTCCCCCACAAAATCCAGGCATCGGAAAGCACCGGCGTCCCTTTCCCGTCCTGATCCCAACCCCTCCTTATCCCCCTCCTTTTTTTGGTCGCGCCGACCTTCCCTGTCCCCTATTCCGACCACGCTGTCCTCCCCCGATCTCGATTCAGGCCGCACCGACGTCCCCAACCCGCTTCCTAGGGTCTAGTTTGGTGGATTTTAGATTTTTCGAAGGGGTTTTGAGGTTGGGTTGGCTGGGGTCGGATCCCGGTCAGCGCGGTCAGTTCTTGGTGGAGGTGGTTTCGGGTTTGGGTGGGGTGGTGGTTCTAGGGCCTGGGTTTGGGTGGTGGTGGGGATGGTGGTGGCGAAGTGGTGGTGGTTTTTTTTTTTTTTTTTTTTAAATTTGATTTTATTTTTTTAATTAATTTTTTTTTAATTTTGAACAAATCAAGTTGTGACATGTGTAAATAACACTTAATAAAAAAAAAAATACCTCTTCAACCGATTACTGCTCACTTGGGACCATTTTGAGTGGATTGAGTATAAAGTTTGAATTATTTAAAAATAAGCCAAAGGTAGGATAATTTTGGGCGGAAACCTCAAAGGTGGGAATATACCAGACAATTTATCCTTAATATTTCTTAATTGCAAACCATCCATTTAAATCTAGTCAAAGTAATGTATTTCAACTTTGCATAATTCAATGTGCAAGGGGAAAAAATGGAAGAAGTATTTGGTACTCCACAAACGATGGTATGTTATTTTCTGCACTTTATATTTGCTAAACTTAACTTACTCGTATTTTTGTTTAACTTTGCTTATGTTTTATCTAACTTATTTTAATTTTGTTAAAATAATTTGTTTTTACTTGACTAAGAATCAACTATGTTTTACTCGTATGCATTTTGACTTATTTCAGAAAAATTCAGAAAAATACCAGTAAGTTTTAAAATGTACAATCGTATCACAAAAATATTCACTACAATAGTTTTGCACAAAATCAACTTATAAAACGTAATCACTCTACCCTCTAAAAGATTTTCATATTATCCTTACACAACTTTCATAACTCAATTTAAACATCAACATCTTTAATCACTAAATAAATAATTAAGTTAATATATCATAATTATGCATTGACAAACATTACAATACCCAATTACCAATATAAATTTTGCATTTTCCTATATTAATGACTACTTGACACTCGTGATAAATACATTTCTTTTTTTGACCAAGACATTTCAAACAAGAATGCCTTCTAAATAAGGATGGTATTTTCTTATCAAAAAATAAAATTAATTCCTTTTGTGGCGTCATGAATCAATGAATAGACGAAGTCACACGTACCCCATCCAATTTCCACAGTATAAAATACGAACCAACCATAACATAATTGAAGAAATTTCAAGAACAAAATTGGGGGTTTTACCCACAATTATCAAAATTAGAAGGGATTAGGTTTCAATTTCATTATTGTCAAAACACCAGGCTGTGACGCTGACTCAGCAATCAGCAAAACCAAACCTAAAGCCTTCAAAAACTACCTAATTAAACTCCCTTAATTTTCTTAAAAAATTCCCATTTTAATTTTCAAATTTCTAAGTTATATACGTAGTATTCAGTTTTGTAAAAAAGGCCAATTTTTTTCTGGGTTTCCTGTAATTTATCTAATTAGGGCCTTTTTATCAACTTTTTTAATTGATTAATTGAAGAAAAGAGTGAAAGTTTGAGTTTTTTTTTTTGTTTGGTTATCAATGGTGGGTTATAATCTAGTAAAGTCTTCTACTTGCCATGAATCTCTCAAAGTCATCGAAGCTGATATTCAACATGCTAATATTCTGTAAAGTTTCTTCCTTTTTCCCCAACTATTTTTATCTTATTTACGAATTATATTATTTTGTTTTGTTTAATTTCTTTTGTTGATTATCTATACTGTACTTGCTGAATGGGTCAATGGGTATCTTTGTAATTTTGTCATAATAAGCGGTTGCTAAATTTGTTTCTGGGTTTATTTGCTTGTCTACTTGATGATTCTTTAATTATTTTAGTTTTCTGCTATATAGACATAATTTGGACCTTTTTTTTATGTGAAATATTTATTTTGTATTTAAATTCAATTCTTCTTGTGTTTATGAAGTTTTGAATTTAGATGGAGATGTTAAAGGGATTAAATAGTTTGATTTTAGTTTACTTTGCTGACATGTTATAAGAATATGTATTTTGATGAAATTTTGTAATTATGGAATTTGGGTGTTCATGAAATTTTGAGAGAATTAATAAGTTTTCTTTGGTATCTTTAGTTTTAAAGATACTAGTTTGGAAATTTTAGTGGTTATTCTGATTTTGACCAGCATTAAACAAAGTGGAGGTTTATCAGTTCATGGCTAGGTTAATTTGGGGTTTGTTTTATGGTGTTCTTTGATGTTCGAGTTTTCCGTATATCAGTAGACACTAGACAGGAGGATTGGTTTTGAGTTTGAGATGTTCTGAACATTGATTGTTACGGGTTGAGATGTTCTGAACATTGATTGTGGAGGATTATTGGTTTGAACACTGTATTGAGTGATCCCTTTAGTCTTTAGATTCAATCTCAGCTCTAGCACAAGCGGAGTTATTTTCTCTAGGGAGCATTTTGATTTTGTCCCCTTCATGATGTCATTACAATTCTTTCGACTTGAATGTTACTTAAGGATATAAATGGAGGATTGTATATTGTAGGCTCCTTATGCCTAATGTTGATTACTTGATTGTAATGGTTGCCTGACTCTTGGGCTTTCCTCGTTTCCAGGGCTGCTTCTATTCCTAGAAATAAAAGTGGCAATTGGCTTCAGATGAAATTAGTTCACAATGACTTGGCTCCCCTTATCCTTTACTTGCTCCAATGGATTGATTGCTCATGTACATGTTTACTTCCAAGCTGCTTGAATCTTTTCTATGTTGTTGTATACAAGGTTAGTTTCTCAAGTCTTACCTCAAAGTTTTTGTAGTTATGGGGATACAAACTGAAAATGAATTATTAGATAATCATGTTGCCCCGAATAATATGTTATCATAGCTTACAGGTAAATGCAGATGGTAGACCAGATATCTCGTCGTATGGAAGGAGAGCAACCTTAAGGGAGTTCTATGGTATGTAAATGAATGTTGTCTTTTTAGTTTATTGTATGGTTGTACCCTGTTTTTGTACATAGACAAGTTTATGCGTATTGAATAAAAAGAAGAATGACAATGGGAAACTCTCTTCTCATATCTAACTATTTAAGGTCTTAATTGTTGCAAATATTCCGAGGTTGTTTGTGACTTGTGAGATATAACAACAAAAATAAATTAAAGTAATACTCAACTTTGGATTCTGGAAAGTCCTTTTTCCTTGCATGACTATGAAGACATTTTTTCATTAGCATTCTGTTTGCTATGATTAGTTGCCTTGTTGTAGCTCCACTTTAATTTGGTATGAGCTGGTATTATAGGAAATTTGGAGGGCATAATAGGTAGTGCAAATGTGCAATATGCTTATGTTAGTTGTATCCTGAGGAGGAAGATCAGTGAATTAGTTAGAGGACTGATGCTATAAATTAAAGAGGATTAGGGAGTTTGTTATGAGTTTGCTTCACATTTTGGGAGGAGTAAGCCTCCTGGAAGCTTGTACCTATCCACTGTTTTCCAGATTATATCAATCAAGCTTCCTCTTCTTCCTTTTAATTTCCACATTTCATCACTTTAATCTGTAATCCATAGCTTAATGGTATGGTGTTGTTCATAATATGTGCATTGTGTTTTTTTTCTCATCCCCTAGTTGTATTACAAATAAGAAGCAATACAAGGCATAAAGCTACATATCTACTTGTTGCCATCTCATCCCCTTTCACCTTTTTTTGGAACTTTTGAGGGATACTAACTTCGTCCCAGAATAACTGGAACTTGGGACTATTGATGTATTAGCTTTGAACATAATATTTTACTAACATAATATCAACATATTTATCATAAAATATGTTATATAGGTATTATTATAAAGATTCATAATATAATCAACATATTTTATCATAAAATATGTTAGATAGGTATTATTATAAAGATTCATAATATAATTTTCAAAATAATTTTCATTAATATTTAATTATATAAAAATAAAGTCAAACTAGTGCATTGACATGTGTGCAAAGTTGACTGTTTCAGTTATTTTGGGACAGAGTGAGTATTATTTTCCTTGGCAAACATTGGTTCTGCTGCTCATGGTGTTTCGTTTTAAATGAGGACTTTGCTAACCAGGAATAAAGATGTCAAGGATATTGTCTAGTCCTTTTGCTATATCTGTTTCTTCTCAAGCAAAGCCCTTCTGCGGGAAATTTAGTAAATTTGTCTGCATTACTAACCTTTTTGAGAATTTCTCTCCCTTCATAACCAAGGATAGCCAGATAAAATCTAGCTTGCTTTTTTTTTCCGCTAACAAAATTTCTCTTTTTCTCTAGAACCGCATCAACAAACTTACTTGAGGAAGTCATTTTTATATGTGATGGTTTTTTTTGTACTTGGTTTATTCTTAAACTCTCTTTTTCACTTAAATAATTAAGAATAAAGATCATTTTCATTTGAATTAGCAATTTCAGGACCGCCTTCAGCCTCAATCCATCAGTTCTGACTTATATCACTAATCACCATGCTGTTAGTAATTCAGTCACCATTATATTCTAAATTGAATATAAGGCAAAAGGTCAATCTTCATGTCTTCACGTCTTACTACTGACCTTCTATAAGCCCAGACACCTCTGTTGGGTGGATCCCCTTGTATTGCCAACCAAGGGAAACCTCAAACCAGATGTCTCACCTACTGGGCAACTATATCCTTTGCCCTTCTCACTGCTAAAATTTGAGGGGAGCGGAACTGACATACATACTGATACCCCTCTTTATGGATTGATGCCATCGCTTCTCGGGCCACCATTTATAGCGCTTGCTTGAGATTACCTATATAGTCTTCGTTGCAACTAAAAGACCAATCTCTGACAATTAATTTATTACACTAAATGCGGTGTAATGATTTGGCAGTGTCTCTTATGCCCTTTCTTACAGTCTCAAGTTTGATAAATGTGCTGTTTTACTATCAATCAGTCACAATCAGAGCTAGTTATTGGGTAGGGTAGCCCAATGATAATAGGGTCAGGGCCAAACTTAAAGGGTTTTTAATGGACATGGCCCTTATTGGGTAGGGTTAATATAGGGCCAAAATGTTTTTCCAATTTAATAGACAAACAAAATAGATAATGTAAAAATAATTACATAGATAAATGTGTATTCATATATACTTAATAATGGCTTTGTTCAATATTTATTTTAATTGATATTTTGTTGGCCTGCCCATTATTGACCTGTTATTGACCCGCGACCCGCATAGGCCTGATCCGCTATTGACCCTATAAAATATGATCCTCTTTGACCCAACCCACAATTGACCCGCACCGACCCTAACCCGCCCCGCCCAATAACCAGGTCTAGTCACAATATAGGTAGGTGATTGACTGCTTTAATTAGTGGGTTAGCTAATGGAGACAGTATAGAGATGGAGAGAGGATGTGGTGAGAGGAGGTTTGCTAGACATCCCATATAAATCAGGAAGCAAACCCTTATGAGGCTACTGCCTCATTGGCGTCCACAGAGCGTTACAGACATTCTGCATTTTCGAGCCCATATAGTTGCATTTCCCAAGTTAGGAATTCCAGAGAGGCCCTATGAGGCTATGATTTTGGTCCTTTTTGCCTAGCCTCTGACTGTTTTTCTTTCCCCCTGCCTTTGAGTTTGTGAAGATGTGGGCGGGGCCTTGGTTTCCCTGCAATTTTTTTGATAATGATTTACGAACATTTTCTTTTTTAGTTTTTATTTTGGATATTAATATAGCTGTAGACGCTAATTGTTGATTCTTGTTGTGGTGTCCTGCATTATGGATTTATGCCCTTGCCGGTTGATTTAACATAACTTATATGTATTGACACTTTGTTAAACTTAAAAGTCCGTAAAGTAAACCAATTTCTTCAGTTAATAGCCAAATTTTCCAAACTCTGCAGTTATTTGATAGACAAAGATATTTGCTGGACATGTTTAATGGTCTTGCTTGGATAAGGATGTTGCTTGTAGAATTGTCAGCCTGTTGCTTCTTTGACTTGTCATAGGAAGTCATAATTGCTACCTGCTAGACACATTTAATTTTCAAATTGTACTTCCCAATTAAGATTTAAGAAGATAATTTGGTCCTTGAATGTGGATCTGCAGCTATTATCTTACCCTATCTTCAACGACTCCACGGGAATTTATCTGAGCTAGACGAGGGTGCAAATGTGTGTAACAGGTCTGAATTGGCAGTCAGAAAGATTTCTCAGGAGAGTAGAAAGCTTTCAGACATTGATTTCGATAGGGAAGATGAGTGTGGAATTTGCTTGGAGCCTTGCACCAAAATGGTGTTGCCCAATTGCTGTCATTCCATGTGCATCAATTGCTATCGAGACTGGTGAGTTGAATTGTCAAAAAACTTATTCCTTGAAATCCTTAACAAGTTGATAACAAATTTTTTAATTGTCCTATAAAGGGTTCCTCATATATTTGCATATATGCAGGAACTTGAGGTCAGAATCTTGTCCATTTTGCCGGGGTAGTATAAAGAGAGTTCAGTCAGGTGACCTCTGGGTTCTGACCTGCGGCACTGATGTGGTTGACCCAAAAACTGTAATGAAGGAGGATATATTGCGCTTGTATCTCTATATAAACAGCTTGCCGAAGGATGTTCCTGATGCTCTGTTCTTAATGTATTACGAGTACTTAATCTAATGATTCTAAACCAGGAAAGACATTTGTAAAGAGTTAAAAAGAAATTGTAATCCAAAAATTGTAAATAATTTTCTGCAAAAGCCGCTTCATCAAAATGTAGAATATGTATATGGTTCAGTGTACATCAACTATCAGGCTGCTTATTCTGATATTCATGCTTCACTGCTATAAGTTCTGCCTCCTGGTTCAAATTATTTTGATACTGTCATTTACATCTGAATTTGTCATAGGCAGGTCTTGATCTTATTTCAAAACCAGGGATGTATGGTTGGTTGGTTTGTCCTTTCTTGTCCCCTGCAGTGTCTGAAACGTTGAATTAGATAAAACAGGAGAGTGGACTTGGTCCATCTGGGTGGTTAAATTGGCCCTGAACAGGGGTGGAGCAGGTGTGTCGTGTCTGGTTTGTGGCGGGATGGGATTGATGAAACTAGGGAAGTTTTTCCAAAAACTGAGCTGAGAACTGGTTCTGGTATTTTGCTAAAAACATAATGGACAAGTATGGTCCTTGCATTGGTTCCGAGCCTTAAACCAGATCAACAGGCCTAGACTACTGTTAGACTGGTCTGAAGTGGTCCTCTGGTTGCCTATAACTGTTGTTGACCCTGTTTCGAACCGACTTGGAGTGCCAATTGCCTATTGGGTGTGATTGGTATACACTCATATATTTGATGCACATTGGAGATAATAATAGAAATAATACCTTTGTGCAGGAGAAACTAACAAGAACTCTGATATATAATATGCCCAAAAACGGCAAAACTAACACAAAGTAACTCATATTAGTACTATTAATATTTTAATTCTATCAACTTACATATAGGAATATAACTCATCTAGACCTTGGAGACCTTATACTTGACTCATCTTCTTACTGATCAAATCCTGAAAGGAAGGGTGAGAGTACCCTCCTTGTAGGAGCAATCCCGATACAACCTTATTCATGGCTTCCGTCAAGTGGACTCCATCCCAATTCATGTACTGCGAAGGGTTGGGGCACGGCTTTGCAGATGGGGATCCACACACCGAGAAGAACTCATAGTTATAGGAGCCTCCTCCAGAGCCACAGCATACTTTGAAGGCCTCCTTGAATCCATACTTTTTCGAGTTCTTCATGATGTCGCGGTATGCATTGTAGTAATCAGCATAGATGATGTTCGACTGAGGGTACTTCTTTCTAAGGTCTTGTATTTTGGCTTGGAGGAGGGTGTTGTGGGTGTTGCTTTGGGTGTTTACGCTTCGAACACAGCCTAAGTCGTCTCGGTCATTTGTTGGAGCTAAGTACATTGCTAGTGTTAAGCACCCTGTTGGAGGCAAGCCTTGTACAACTACATATTTTGCTCCTTTCTTTAGTATTGCCTGCAATTTGTGAAAGAAAAATGTATTAGAATGTTATTAAAGCTAAATTATAGATTAGACATTATGGGCTCAAAGTGGGCTACTTAGTCCATTTAAGTTTACGGCTTATCAAACCCACTACCAACAACTAAACCGGTCCAAGCCCAGCCCGTTTCGGCCCCTAACTACCTCTACTTAAGTGTAGGCAAGGCAATTAATGAACAACATTAGGTAAAATTTAATGAAATTCATAACTCTGGTAGTTGGCAGCAGTTGGACAGTGATAAATTCTACCGACTACTAGTAATACAGGAAATTGATGTACAATTTTCTGGACTTGTCTTACACAAATTTCGACGTTTACTATTTCTAAGTTACAATGGCAGCAAAAAAAAAAAAAAAAAAAAAAAGCCAAAAGGAAACATATTTAGAGTTTTTCTTAGAATTCACTCCTTACCATAATATAGTTCTTATTGTGTTTTTTTCACAATATTTAAGAAATGGAAGGAGAAGTAAAAGAAGTACATTAAAAGTGGAAAATACCTAGACAAAAGTACAAGGCAAGAAAATAATTTAAGGAAAAAAAAGAAGTGAAAATTACAATTATGGACAAAATTTAAAGAGAGAAAGTGGAAAAATGTACAATGCAAGTGGATAATTTAAGGGTAAATTAGAAAGTTTAATGAATAAAGTTAAAAAAATTGAGGATATAATAGTCTTTACATACTATCAAAAATAAAAGAAGAAAAAATATTCTGGGTCTACAAAATAGGAAAAACAAAAACTATATTGTGGGACGGAGGGAGTACATTTATATTCGTCGTGATATTTTGACTTTTATTTTGTTCATACTCTATTTTGACTATTTTTTTGTTAAATTATACTTCGTACTTAAAAGAAGAATATAGTTATGCTTAATATTGTTATGTTAATAGTGTAATTTGAACTAATAACGTGATAGTTGAATCTAGACAACTTATTATACTCTGATTTAATTGTTGAGTTAATAGTGTAATTTGAACTTGACAACTAAATCTAGAGAAGTCGATAATAATAATTTGTCGGGTTAAGTTACAAAGCCAAGATCTATCCTAGTAATTAACAAGTATAGTTACACACGATGTGCATGGTAAATAGAAAAAACTAGGAAATCATGATGATTAAACTATAAATTTACCTCAAGAAAGTTAGAGATTCTTGTAATAGCCAAATTCTGAATAACACTCTTGCTAACTTCAGTCTCAGCAGCATAAGCATAATCATTAGCACCAATCTCTCCAACCCAAATTAACGCATCATTAAACAATGCACCACACTTCACTGCATCACTACACCCACCTTGTTTTGCCAAGTAATTATTAAACCAACCCAACTGAGTCCCTAAAGACTCAGGGGTAACATCAAAGGTAAGATTGTTCTTAACAAAGAAGCCTTGCTCTATCGCTGTCGACCCCGCTACGGCGAAGTTTACACCGTTGGTCGCTCCACCACCGGTGGTGGAGCGATAAGCGGGGAGAAGCGGCAGTGATAGAGTTTGTGTAAGAAAATCAATGACTAATCGACCATCGGAGTATCGGTTAGTGGGGTGGTGGAAGTAGGTCATACCATAAGGGAGATTGGAAACAAAGTTGAACCCTGAAGGTCCTGTTGCTGATACTGTGTTGCCTGTGTCTGTGTAGGAGTCTCCGAAGGCGTAGATTTTCGAGAACGGTTTACGAGTTGGAGGTGTAATGGAGGATGATGATAGGGGTGATGAGAGGAGGAAGATGAGTAGTGTGAAGATGAGTGTTAGGAGAGGAGTGTGAGAAGAGTGAGGAAAAGAGAGTTTTGAGCTCATTTTTTTTGTTGTTGTTGGTTTTCAATTTTAGAGTAATGTGGGATATTTTTCAAGTTAGAAAGGTGTGGTGTGTTTGGGTGGATTTTATAAGGCATGTGTTTTGTTTCGTTTTTTTTTTTCCTAGAAGTGAACAAATTTGGCTTATTTAATGAATTTACGCTAGAGCTACTGCTAGTCAGTGAATAAAATATCCTTATTATTGAGATATGTTGCATTTTACCACCCTTAAAAAGTATATCTTATTATTTAACCTTTTTTTTTATATTTTAAATTATGAAATACTTCCTTTGTTTCTTATTTTTTTTTCTTTTACCCTATTTGACTTATCGCGATCTTTAAAACGTGTGTTAAATACACGTATATCTTCGGTTCTTTACGCATTAAAATTAAAAACAAATTTAATATTTATAAAGTATATAAAAAAAAATTTCTTATAGATTATCGGGTATTTATGATCAACAATTATAAAATTTGACCTAAATATTGACCTAAAATTTAATAGGAATAGAGGGAGTGACATTTAAAAATAAGACAATTTTTTTCTTTTATCTTTTCTTCTTCTTTTTATTTTTTTTTTTATGTTTTATTTTTAAGATATCACTAGCAATTAACATTTAACAAAGCTTAATAAAGTTTACCGCCTCAAATAAATCATCTATTTAACTATATATAATGGGTGCAATTTTTTAATTTATTTTATTTTATTAAATTCTAGTCAATTTTACAACATTCAATTGAATCTTTCTCGACGTACATCCCATTTTGTGTCATACTGCAACAAGCTCAATTCACGGGACAATTCACATACAGTATATTCTTGGATTAAAGCCTTAAAGGATAAATAGTGTCTTGTCTGGTACACGTTCAATCTCTCTAACCCTAAAGTCCACATATGTACAATTTTAACCATTTTATTTATTTATTATTATTAATTATTATTATTTTTTACTTATTGAGCCTCAAATTACCTACACCACTTGTGTTATATCATATTATACAAAAACTATAGACAACACAAAACCTCCATAATAAGTTAGGTAATGAAGTCAAATTGTATATATAAAACTATTTGTCGATCAAAGTATGGTGAGTCACCCGAGACCGGTAGTAAAAAAGAATGCATGCATGTTGATCTGGAAGATCTGGTAGGTAGCAGTACCACATAGTCTTAATTGTGTGACCCAAAAGTAATTGCTAAATGCTTATGTATGTTGGGTCTCATAAATGAGGGAGGCAACCCAATTAGTATGGGAGAGGTGACGATGAATTCTGATTTTATTGAATTTCATGCACTGGTTGGTAAATATATACTCCCTACCTGATTTTGCATGCATTGATTGATTGTCACTTATTTTCTCAATGCATTTCAAATAATTTAATTAATATTGTTAACGTTGGGTGTGGTAGGGCATTGCATAATGTTCATGGTAATACAAATTTCTTCGCATGTGAGTCTTTCTGTACATAATTAATAACCTAATTAATTATTGAGTTATTAAAGTACGTTGATACGAACAATAATAATAATACTCTACATAATAATCAACTACGAGTAATATAATACGAACTATAATAGGTGCAATGGCTATTAAATACGAAGTTAATTAATAACATATGAGTCCATAATAATCAACTATACCGCTATAGGCTCATATGGCGACCATACGTTACCTTATACTTGTATCAACCATTTAACCTACATAATAGTCAACTATAAGCTCATATGACGGCCATATGTTACCTTATACCAAGAAGTCGAAAGCTTTTAAATAGTTGTCTTAATATAATTGCAATCATTATGAAGTCTTATAATTTTTAGTAGTAATGTTAGATTAGAGTACCTAACTTTTCAGCTAGTAGCAAGACTAGCAACCTGATAAATGCACTCCGTATATTACGATTTGTTTGTTTTTTCTTTCTCAATTTCAAATTTTCACACTATTGTTCCACAAAAAAAAAAGAAAAAAAAAATGAAAAGAAAAAGAACGTTAAAAATAAAAATAGAAATTTAAAGAGGCCGGGAGGAGAATTATTTCAATACTACGAAGTATTGTTTTTCGCCTATGCCAGCTATTTTGGTGTTTTTTTTCTTTTTCATTTTTATTTTCATCAAACTAATCCTTTTAACCTTTGTACTCACTCCATTCCATGATAATTGACATACTCGATTTTTTTTCTCAACTTCGATTATATATCAATATCTTTAGTAATGTATTAATAAAAATAGTAAACACGTAATATTTTAATAATATACATTAAAATAAATCCAACAACTTACTTATTGGTCAAGTTTTGAAAAAAGTCAAGCGTATCAACTATTATAGAATAAATGAAATAATATTCTTTGTATATATGTACGAAATAGCTAGTAAGGTATGTAGCATTTTCTTCATGTGAATTCCACTTATCATATTAATTATTTATACGTATTCTACATGAACTTATCAATCTTTATCTTATTCTTAGATGCGTTGAACCTCTTACAAAGTGATTAGTATAATTTGGTAAGAAAAGGCGAAAAAATGATTTCTATGTATAATGTGTTTGGAGGACATAAATTTGCAACGAAACTAAAATTAGTTACTCACTTTGTTCCTTGAAAGCATGTCCCGGCCCATAAAGCCATAGTCGCATGGACATATGATTAATTTCTTAAGTTTTGATTAGGTGAATCTGATTAAGGAGGAAACAAATAAGAACAAAAATAGTGTATTTGAGTGTAAAGTTACAATACTTCATGACGGATGACAAACTTGAATGGACAAATTAAAACAATATTTAAGGGAAGGAAGAAGCATGAAAGTGCTGTTACAAGCTAGCTGTTAATTGGGTCTAAGGGGCTAGCAGTTAATTGGGTTGGTTAGTTTGATCTAGCCCAATGCTCATGGAGGTGTACTTTACACTTCATAATTTCCTATAAGTTCTGACTCATTTGTCATTTATAAGGTCTTTCATACGCAATTTTTTGTCCTCAATACCTACAGTTTTATATATGAATGAAAATTATAAAAAATTACGAAATACAATTTTAAACTTTACATGTAGATGAATCTAATAAGATTTCACTCAATAATTTTTGGATTCTTATTGTATTATAATATTGTAAGCAATGCAAAGTTTTTATAGTAATTGTGATATTTGTGTTAATTAATACTTATGAATTTATGGTTATTTAATAGTTAAGATATTATACTTAGATTAGTAATAATGACTATCAAGTTAATAATATATAGATTTAATTTTTGTGTTAAAGGTCAAAGTTAACTAGTTAACCCCAATAATATTATGCAAGTGTTTAAACAAAAATTTTATTAGCTCAAATGCTCAATTGATAGATCAATATATTATTATGTACATGGTGTGGGTTGAGGTTTGAATTTTTAATACAACCTACAAATTGTTTTGTTGTGTTTTGGTGCCATATTAGGGGGAATGACTAACAAGCACAGTTTGACTTTGTTAAATAATTGTGACTCCAAATCTAGTAGGGCCTACTTTGAATGAATATATCTCTCAAAATGTATGTTATTTTAATGTGATTCATGTTGAAGGTGATAGCTTGATTCAATAGCTTTCTAATGATAGGTCATATGCCTAATTTCGATAAGAAACGAGAAAGTTATAACCATTTTACGAAAGCCTGACGAAGCTGGATCGAAAATTGCGACCAGCAGGCGAGCTATAGCTCTAGGTGAGTGAGCTATAGCTCGGCCCTTTGAAGACTTGCGGTAGATTGAGCTAGCTGCCGAGCTATAGCTTAGTAGTTCAGTTCTTCTAGGATAATTTATGGGATATTTCCGGCCTAAAATTATTATATCTTTCCTATGACGGCTATTTGAGTATACTCAGTTTTTATTATGATTTCCTTGTATTATAAAAAGACCCTTAAGTCGATCAATTAGATCATACCTTTTGAGCCACTAGATTTAGGACTCCTTGTATTATTCTCTCATTCTTTCTCCATTATAGTGAAGAATCTCTTGAATCCCCGACCCGTGGATGTAGGTCTAATTTGACCGAACCACGTAAATGCTTGTGTTCGTCTTTGTTTATCTTCTTCATTGTTTTTCTCGTTCTTATTTTTCATTGACTTATTCCGCACTAATCAAACACAATCATACCCTTATTTCCTAACAATCTTTGATTGAAATCACTTGTGTTTTGTAAGATTGTAAGTAATTTAAACTTTGATCCTTCTTGTGAATGTTAAATATGCCTTGAATCATGGTATTAATTATCTATGGAGTATGTTTTGTTCATGGTCGCCCCAATTGCCCTGGAAGATAGAGCGAACAAGGGAAGCTCTAATTATAGTTTGAGGACTTTCAGATTAGGTGCTGGTGTGACCACTTGGGGCCTCGCCCAGGCCTGGCCTGACCGGACGAGTAGGGTCTATTTGGTTTGCAGTTATGCCATAGTAGGCTACACACTAAAATTGCGCTGGTAGTGTTGCGCACAACTTCTAGAGCTACACTGGCAGACGAGTGAAATTAAAAATATCACGCGCAACATTAAGAAGTCAAATTAGTTATAATTGTTTTTTTTTTCCGCTGTAACGACTAGTTGAGATATGCTTGGGGAGTACTCTAGGGTTTTATCAGGGTTTTCTTGTGTTATAAAAAAACCTCTTTTTGAGCCATTTCGATTTAGGTTTTAATGTATTATTCTCTTATTCTTTTATCATTATAGTGAAGAAATTCTCGAATCCCTCACCTATGAATGTTGGTCTAAATTGACCAAACCACATAAATCGTTGCATTATTTTTTTTCGTTCTTATTATTTTCTTTTTATTAATGGTTTGTACAGCATTTATAAAATATAATTACACCCCAATTTCTAAAGGTTGCCAAACACATTTCAATTCTTCCAAAAAAATTAACACGGAAATATCATAAAATCCCACATCTAAAAAAGTAAAAATGTTCTTGAACTTCACGTACTTTTGGCATTTTCTTATGTCTCACATGTGGCCATTCAACATTCGTCACCTTTTAACATTCTTTGTTGCAATTATAGTTATAGAATAATGTTTTGACATCACTCTTTATGCTTTTATTTATTTTTTACTACTTTACAAAGTTAAATCGTCAAACAAAAGATTTATGGATTATAGTATAGTTTACACTTTACACGCCTTAATCATGATTTGATATCCCTTCAATACATATATCAACAAGTTATACTTCATTTAGTGATACAGTTTTTAAGAAATATAT